CTACTTTTCTTCACCTGAATGCCGCTAATGGTACTTAGCTCGTGAAGATAAGTGTGTTTTTCTGTTTATCTCTTGTCTAGTAAAGAGGATTTGGTGTCTTAACCGCAGGGACCTGGAGCACTAGACTTCTCACTGGGTTTCAGTCCTCTGCACCTCGTATTTCGAAATAGATTGCAGCTGGTCTTCTGGAGTCAAGGATCGTTCCACATCTGATATCACTCAGGGAGGATGGCGGTTTTTTGAGTGGTTCTCTGAAACCATGAGCTCAGTACTTAGCTATAGAAAAAGGATGCAAGGAAGATAGGACACACTCTTGAGCTTGTTTTGCTTCTTCTTGAGTACTGTGTGAGGTTCAGATACTTCCCTCCACTCCATCCCAAAGAGGAAGAGGGACCTCTGGAGCTGGAGAATAATGCAGGGAAAGGCAGTCGGCATGAGCTGAGGAATGGTGTGATTTCCACATGTGGAGCAGTTAAACCCTAGAAGAGAAGCATCTCCCCTGACTGAGGGGAGAGATGGAGAAGTCTGTGAAAGTCTGACTGGCTTGAAGCTGACAAACGAGAAACAAGAGTGTTAAGTAAGGGTAGGGATAGTTATGAACTGCAAAAATTCGTTACCATGGGATGTACTGGATGCTGAAAGATTACGTGAGTTTAGGAAGAAAATGAAGGAAACCACTTCTGCTGCCAAAGTCCTAGAAGATGCTTTCCAGCTTCTGCTGTTCCCTAGACATTTGTTGTTGACCATTATCAGAGCAGGATGAGGTGGACCTTTTTTCATTTTAGTCTGTCTCCGTAGAGCTTTGTATATGCTCCTTTTTCTGTGGCAGGTAGTTTCTGCCACAGAAAAACACAAGTGGCAGAAATTTAAGTAGTTATTTGAACACAGATCTTCACTTCAGCAAGCTGCGTGTGTTCTGGGCAAGCCTGCCTGAAGAGTGTCGGTTACTGTGAGCTTGCTGTATTGTCCTTCTTCCCGCTGGCCACTGTTCGGCATAATGCACAGAACTGACTAGCTTAACTGACTTCGGATGGACCCAGTACAGCAATCCTTACTGGGTTCTGCAATATTTCTGGGCAGACTTGGGTTCTGGTCACAGGCTCTTGGGAATGGATTATGCGGAGGTACATCTGAGCCCAGCCTGCTCTCTGGGCTGTGTTTACTGTGTGAAAATCCTCGCTGATGTGGCTTGGTTGGAGGCTTTCTCTAGTTTCAGTCATCTCAGAGAAACCAAATGCCTTTTCTGGTTTCAGCCGTAATTTATGTAGTGCTGTAGAATTTCAGTAACACCTTCTGCTCATGTGTGTTTGAGTTTAAATCCATATTATTTAAAGATGTGATGGCATTGTTTTTTGTTAATAATGAATTTTAGAAAATCTATTTAAAAGCATAAACAAGAAGAATAGTCTCTCTGTCCTCTTCAACAAAGCAGCTTCAAGTTAACCTAATTTTTCTTAATAAATTGACTTTTGCACTGTGCTTTAAATGTATTATTAATTACATTTAAGATTGAGCATTTGACTAACAGCCCAATGTGTGTGTTTCATACTCCATACTAATGTGAACTCATTTTAGAGTCAGTGGTGCTTATTGGTATCTACAAAGTTTGAATTGTCTCAGAGACACCGCAGGTAACTCTTTCCTTCTGCACCACCTTTATGTATTAAAATGCTACAGCTCTTTATTCTACAGGAGATTTTAAGAGTTGTTCCCTCTTATTCTTGGGTACTACATGTAAAATATTCTACAAATATTTTTTTTTGCCTCTTGAACGTTCATCTTTCTCATTTTGTCATTTGAAGGTTGAGCATGTTTAACTGGTAAGTGTCACAGGGTTTTTTTGTAGTTGTTTGATATTTTTAATATTTTTTTGAGAAATGGTGTTTGCTGTTATTAGCTGTGCATATTACGCCTGTTTTCCATAGCAAGTTGTTGCTTCGTAACTATGTCATAAAATGTTGTCAATACTATTATTTTGTCAATGCTGTTGCCTGATTATGACGCTTTTCTTTGTCTTTCTCAGTTTTGTGCCAATGACCCTGAAGTGTTTGTCCAAGCAGCACTGTTGGCTCAGGATTATTGTGATGCCATAGACCTAAATTTGGGTTGTCCCCAAATGATTGCAAAGAGGGGTATGTGTAAATCTGAACCTTGGATAAACAGAAAAGTGACATGTTTCAAATATCAAATGTTGACAGTAAAACATCAAGAGGACCAAATTAAGCCTTGGTGTGGGGGGTGCTGGAAACAGGCTTAGTTACACCCATTTTAACAGGAAATACTTTGTAGTACCTAAACCAAGAAATAGATATACTGATAATTAATTCCAGCTTCTCTTGAGTGACACCTCTTGTGTCTAGAATATCCTTCAGAAAAAGTATTTTTTGCAAGGGCTAGATTTTCTTTCTGTTTTCAGTTGTTCAAACTGCCTGATTTTGCAAAACTGCATTTAAAATTATGTCATGCAGGTACTTAGTGTCTCCTATTTCCTTGATACTTGCACAGGGTTTATTCACATCAGCGTATAAGAGGATAACACCTGCTGAATCCCTTAAAGATATTGCAAAGATAGCTATGTTTGAAAACCAGAACCAGTGTTTGAAAATTTTGGATCAGTTACGATGCTGAGAAAAGATTTGTTCAGTAACTGCCCATTCCTAATCTAAAATGTCTTTCAAAGACTAATAGGAAATGGTCAGTGGTGTACATGGCAAATAGATCTTTCAATCTGATCAGATTTATCCTGAAGGGAGTTTTTAAACACATGGCATAAACCTCTGAAAGTTACACTTTGAGCTGCCAGTGTCAACACTCCAGCCTGAGGGAGCAGCAGTGAAAGTAGGGTGTGGGGATTCGTTGTTTATCCTGTGAATCTAGGGTGGCATGGGGAACGGAGTGATCCAACTCTCACTTTCGGCAGGACAGAGCGACTCTGTTTCTGCCAGTGAGGTGTATGCGTGTCTGGATCTTTGTGTGAACGTTTGAGAGAGCTGTATGCTTCAGAATCTTACGTGTCTGTCATACGCTGTTTTATCATAGGTCACTACGGAGCATTTCTGCAAGAGGAGTGGGATCTTCTTCAGAGAATGAGTAAGTCTTTAGAGAGGCCTCACTTTAGAGAGGCTTCGTTTTGAGAGGGAATGAGATGAACTGGTCATGGAGAGGAGGTTTAGGGATTTTTGGGGAAAGGAGGTGCAGCTTGTTTCTTTGGGGGAGGGCTGCGGTTGGTTGGCTGGTGGTTTTTCTTTCTTACTGTATTCCAGTGGCACGCTCAAGATACTTGGTGGTATCCCACTATAAACTCATGCTAGATCTGCTGAAAGACTTCAGTACCTGAAACAGACTTTAGGTGAAAGTGAGTCAGTTAAGTCCCAATCTAATGATGGCTTAGTGGCTCTCCAACTCTGGAAACAGCAGAACTTCCAGTGCCTTACTTTTTCACTTTGAAGTTCTCGGATGCCAGGACTTGTGTTTCTGCTTGAAGCCACAGTTGCCCTTTTCTGATCAACTCAGCGTACTCTTTCTGACCCGACCATAGCAAGTTATGCCTCTCGTCTTTTTTGTAGGATGTTTTCAGATTAGTGGCAGCAATTGTGAACAGTATCATATTTTTTTAAGAAATACATTTGGAACTGATTTAAAAAGCAAGGTTTTGGTCATTGTGTAGAGCTGAGAATGTGCCTTCACCTCACTTCAAAGCAAGCGTCTGAACTGTGAAAGTTGGTGACCCAGGGAATCTTGAATGTTTAGCACAAAGGCACTGCTAAGAACCTGGAAAGATAGACAGTGCTTCCCTGCCCAACATGTAGTGTGGTTGTTAGGGCAGTTTTCTTAGGAGTGAAAAATGCAAATCAGAACAGCCTAAAGGTGAGGAGAGAACCCAGGTCATCTAGTTGGGTGAGAACCGAGGCTGTCTAGTAAGAGAGCTACCTTATTAGGCTGTTGTATAAAAGCTGGGCAGGGCTTCCTCTTCCTCTTTCTCCCCCGGCCTTTTTTAAAATGATGAAGTGCTGTTTTCTGCTTGCACCTGATACACCCTGCTTGCTCCTTTGAAAGGGTGATAGGAAGTTCCTATCATTAGAGCTGATAGGATTTGGATTAGAAGCAAGCAGGTGACTTCCTACATTATACACCCAAGCTCTGGAAGAGAAGAGAATTTCAAGCATGCCTTTGCTCAGTGTTTTTCTGTTGGTTGTCTTCATTAGCTCTCTTTTCAGTAGTTTTCCTATTCCATGCACTGTGTAGAGACTATGGGAGTTGAACATGTTCTAGATTTCACCGTGACTCTGTAACCTACATTTACTACTTGAACGGGTCCACAGCCTACCTTAGTTGATAAACCTGTGCTTGCCATGGACAAGACTCTACTTGTCATGATTATTTGGGTGATAATTTGCAAAGAAGCAAAGGATCTCTTGTAGGAAAGGTCAATGAGTGAGTGTTAATGTTGTCGGCAGAGGGCCTGTGACAATAATAAACCTGTATCAATGACTGAGATTTGAGGGGGATGGTCCTTGAAAGTGAAGGTTTGATGCGGTGGAGATGTTAGGGCTATTAAATGCTGACTATTTTATGCTTTCTTGTTAGAATGCGGATTTTGTGTTTATGTTTTACTATTACTCGATTAACCTGTGCAATAAGGATTGCAGAGGGCATTGCTGATTGTTTAAGCTGTGAGAACTGCATAGCATTAACTTTTCAGGCTTTTTCCATACCACACCCAGTATCAGATCTTGAGGAGAGTAGGCACTTTTCATAGCATTGTGCAGCCCACTTACCTGTCTTTTCAATCTTTCCCAGTTTTACTGGCTAACGAGAAGCTCTCTGTTCCCATCACATGCAAAATCCGCGTTTTCCCAGAAATTGACAAGACAGTGAAGTATGCACAGATGCTGGAGAAAGCTGGCTGCCAGGTAAGGAGGCAGCTGCTACCTGTACTGTTGCATTGGACATGTGTCTCTGTGTAAAGCATCTGATGACCAGATCTCGGTGTACTGTGGAGATGAATAGGCTACATTGGTTTACAGACAAAGAAAACGGGACGCAGAGACATTGTACGTATTTGCAGTCGTAGCCAGCAGGTCAATAATATAATATGGAAGACATTGTGCCTTCAGAGTCTCTCTTGAAATCACCGCACAGCGCGGCATCCTCCCCTGTGGTTGAGCATCTCAGTCTAACATAATGCTGCAGGAGGCAGTGTACAAAATCCACAGGGCTGTAGGAAAAACCAGTATCAACGATGGCCACCACTAGTGAAGAAATAAGCAGCCTTCTAGGATTTAACTCCAGTTACATTGGAAGAAACAGTCTGTAGTTAGAGCCAGTACTGACAGTATTCAGACCTTCTGCTGAGGAGCAAGCCAGATCAACGTATCACAAATGGGAGCCAATGCAATAGGAAATCTGTAGGTTCTTCCAAGATACAATCTTGTCATGTCGTGGAATAGCAAGCTGAAAGAAACCCAAGACTATGGCATGGTAGGTGAGCTACTGATATCCTTCTGCGATACCAAAGTCTCTGCACTGTTGAAATAGCAGTGGGAATTCAGTGGCATCCATGAAGTGTATGGGATGAAAGGAAGTTTTTGTCAGTGGATTTGTTCCCGTGGTTCATACACGTGAAAAGTAAGTATAACTCTGTGTTCTAGTTGCTGACAGTGCACGGCCGTACTAAAGAACAGAAAGGACCGCTTGCTGGCGTGGCGTCCTGGGAGCACATTCAAGCTGTCAGGTTAGTAAGCAGTACCAATCCTAGTGGATTTCCGCTAACACACTATGACAGTAGATTTTACATGGAGCATGCAGTGGCATTGAAGAGCAAACAAATTAGTGTGACAGGAGTAGAATTTCTGAGTTGACACTAAATTCTAATTCTCAATTGTATGCATCTGTTCTGTTCACCGGTATAGAAAAGCTGTGAGCATTCCTGTATTTGCAAATGGAAACATCCAGTGTCTCAGTGATGTGGAAGAATGTATCCGTAAGACGGGAGTGCATGGTGTCATGAGTGCAGGTAAAGAAAATGAACTTTTACTCATAATAGATGAGAATACAAACTGTTTCTTACTCTCTTAATAGTCTCATATACATTTATTGCAAGCTTACGTCAGACTGACTTGGTGAACAGCTTTGACTGAAAGCTGAGTAACCATTCTCTCCTCTCGTACTGGCCATCTCTTACCAGGACCAGGAATCACTTAAGATGTGTAAGAATTGTTATGTTGGACTTGTAGTACAATTGAGTGGACAGCTCAAATCTTATTACTTGACAAAGGTATATAGGATTCCTGTTGTCCTGGAATATTTTCGTGACATCTGTTAATCAATCGAATGGTTTCTGAATGGATCTTGATGCAGTAAGTGCGTCCAATGATTAATATTCCTGCAGATGGTTCATGTTGGATTGGGACAGGAAAGAATTGGCATAGCTTCCTACCTAAAGAGCAAGGATAGACATCAGAAAAAGCTTCCAATCACTTGCACAGTTAAAACAATGAAACATATTTTCTGGGAGGTTGTAGAATCATATTTTAGAAAATACTGGTTAACAAAAGGCTCGTGAAGCTAGTAGAGAAAAGCACAGTGAGAAGCAGTATCTTTAAGCTTAGGCCAGAGAAATGTGAATACAGATGTAAGGTAAGACACCCATTGTCCAAGTATTTAACCATTGGGCAACAAAAGCAGTGATTTCTCATATTTATTTTTTCTTTTTTTACTGTCTTTGTGTCAACATTGAATGCCCTTCTGGAAAATGTTCTTTAATTAGATATGAACTATTTGGCTCAGTTAAGAATTGTGTAGTGAAATATAGCAACCTGAGGTCAGGCTAGAGTTTTATGGACCCTGTGTTCCTCTTTGTGAGTACATGGCTGATGTGTCTGTGACTGGCTGGTAGAATCACAACAGAGCTGATGAAGCTCCAGAGCCTAGATTTTGTTTTCTGTTTCAATCCTGAAATGAAAGTTTTGAGTATTTCTTTTCATTCCCTAGAAGGTAATCTTCATAACCCAGCTTTGTTTGAGGGCCGAAACCCATTGGTGTGGGAGATGGCTGAGGAGTATCTGGAGATAGTGCAGAAGTACCCTTGTCCATTGTCTTATGTTAGGGCTCATCTCTTCAAGCTCTGGCATCACACGTGAGTATCTCCAGAGAACTCTTAATGTTTTCAGGGCTCATCCTGCTTAGCAAGCGTCTGGCTTTTATGGACAAGGATTTGTTTGGCCAGAATTAGTATGCTGCAAGGTTTTATTTTCTGGACCTGGCTGGAGAGAATGTGGGCTGAGGCCTTTACCCTTCATTGCACATCTGGGAAACAGGGCATGGGGAATGAACAAGTCACCACAAGATAAGCTAGGGCATGAGCTGACAGCACATCAGCTGTGGTAGTTGCCCATATGCGCACATGCATCCCTGGCAAACATGAGTTAAGTAGCTCCTTGCTCGTTGTGAGGCTAGCTGTCTTGCATTTATTGGAGGGTCAGAGCATGGCCATGGGCAGTTCCTGAGGAGCAGCTGATGCACTGTAAGTTCGTGTTAGCTTATCTCAAAGTACCTTGATTGTGTGCCAAGTATTTATTTGGAAAAGAGGAGCAGGTGTGTGTGCTTTTCTCTGGACTTTCAAGAAAGAAGATAAGCTTCTACCAAAGGCAAGTGCAGCAAGAAAAATCTATAAAAAGCTTTTATGAAGGCATTTTTAGTTGATCTCCTCAGTCTAGCAATAATGAATAAATATGACTTGATGTTTGGGATTTGCCTCAGGCTTCAAGTTTACCAGCAGCTGCGTGAAGAATTAGCAAAAGTGAAGACTCTAGAGGGCATTGTAGATGTCAACAGGGAGCTGAAACTACGATGCCAGGTACCAAGATGGGCCCTAATCTCCCAGAACAACACTGTCCACACTTGGTGGGAACTTACAATGTATGTCATGCAGATGATGTCTGTTAGCCACTTCACTGGAACTTTCTGGCTTACCAGCCTTGATATTGGTAGTTTACTACCGTATCAGCCCCTTAGGCCTGAACAACTTTACACGGGATAAAGTTGATTTAGGAGTTACAAATCTGCTTCATTTCATCTGTCTTAGTAGAGGTTTTTTGCCTATATTTAATTGTCAGTAACTGTTAGTTTAAATTCCACTTTGTGGTTTCCTGGAGTTTGAAGTAGCATTTAGAGTATTTCCTGAGAACTCCAGGAAAACTGACTGTATCTTTATGCTGCAGGAAGAAATAGCTAATCAGAAAGAAGGAGAAAAGCCAAAAGAAGGGCTGCCTTTTTTCCACTGGATCTGTCAGCCATACATCAGGCCAGGGTGAGTTATCTATTCTAACATGGACAGGTGCCTGTAGGCCTTTCCCACCTCATACTATCCAGTACAGAACCATCCAGTTCTGTTCTAGGTGCTTACGTTCATTTGAGAATCAGTGAAAATTTTGGATTATTTTTATTCTGGTTTGGTTTTTTTCTGATTATTGCTTGCTTTGTGGGGATGTTGCTCATTGTATGCATATCCTTTAGATCCTCCTCAGATTTCTCTCTCTCTGTGGAAAGTAAAAACCAAGAATTCCACTGCAGCTCAGAAAGAGAACCTGATATGCAACAGATAAGCTACCTGACAGTGTTTTATTGTTACCTGCAACACAAATGTTGCTGGTAACTGCCAGGGTAGCAAAGATGGGAACTAAATTGTATTCTATAAAGGCTGCTTGTGTTGTATGGGCAAGCTTTTCAGATAGTTTATTCCCTTTCTGTTGTTACAATTGGGCTGAAGTAAAGAATGAGCGTGTCAAGATTAATACTTAAGTAAATAAAGTAAATACTTAAGTACAACCTGGGAATAACAGGTTAACAGATACCTAACTAATATAACTGGCCAACTTTCATTGACTTTCCAACCGACAGACAGTGTGTCTGTTATTAACAGTCAATGTTAACAAAAAAGTTAGGTTTTTCTATTCCACTTCTAAGGACAATGACACTTCCTTGTAATTTAGCCATGATAGAAAGGTTTTACCCCTGTTTCTTCAAACCAGAATAGTGGCCAGGGAACACTTGTTCCGATCAGCCAACCTAATGATGATATTCACTGTTTCAGGCCAAAGGAGAGATGCAAGGAGAATGGAGCCAGTGGGACTGAAAAAGGTGTGCGAGGGAAACGTGCTCTGGAAGAGGAGGAAGATGGAAATTCTGAGCTTCTGTCGAAGAATAAGCAGAAAAAGAAATTAAGAAATCCAAATAAAAGCTTTGATCCATCTTTAAAACGTAAGCTCCATTTATTGGCCTAAATGCATGACAAGTTGCTGATATCACATTTGACACAAATTGTCCCTACTCTATTTTCCTTGTTTATGTAGCTGTAGAAACATCTTCAAAAAGAAGAGAGATTATCAGGAAATTTTGGTAGTAGGCAATGAGATTCAAATTATGTTCATTAGTAAAGAAAACAAGGATCAAAGCAGTAGGTCACTGATTCACTATAAGCATCTTTTTAAGATCAAAATGCTTTACAAACTAAATTGTAGCTGTCACCAGTATTTTAAATTGAAATTTCTTATGCATTTCAAGCAGATGTCCTCTTTTACACTTGACTTGAGGATTCAAATTTTCTGTTTGGATTTAACTTAGAGACACTTAAAAAGTCAAAGTATCTTTACTTTGCACTGTTCTTTGAGGTACTGTATTTTTATTTCAAAAAGTCTCTCTCTGGCTAGAAAAGTGCCAAGCTTTGTCCGATCCTGATTTTCTTTAATTTACTACTTCTGTATAAAAATACCTGAAATCAGGTCTCTCTCTCTCTCTCTTTTCCAGCCAAATATGCAAAATGTGATCAATGTGGAAACCCTAAGGTAAGTCAGTGTCAGTGTCCATTAAATGACCATGTAGTGATCAACAGCTCTAAGTCCAGATGGAGATGAGTGACAAGTGGTGTCCCTCAGGGGTCTGTACAGGGACAAGTACTGTTTAATATCGTCATCAATGACACAGACAGTGTGACCGAGTGCAAGCTTGCAGATGACGCCAAGCTGAGTGATGCAGTTGACACAGCTGAGGGACAGGATGCCATTCAGAGGGACTTGGACAAGCTCGAGAAGTGGGCCAGTGTGAACCTCATGAGGTTGAACAAGAACAAGCACAAAGTCCTGCACCTGGTTGCACCTGGGGCAACCTGCAGGATCAATACAGGCTGATTGATTGAAAGCAGCCCTGCAGAGAAGGACTTCGGGGTACTGGCGGATGAAAAGCTGGACGTGAGCCAGCAATATATGCCCACAGCCCAGAAAGCCAACCGTATCCTGGGCTGCTTCAAGAGCAGCGTGGCGAGGGAGGGGATTCTGCCCCTCTGCTCTGCTCCGGTGAGACCCCACCTGCAGTGCTGTGTCCAGCTCTGGAGTCCTCACCACAGGAAAGACATAGACCTGTTGCAGCAGGTCCAGAGGAGGGCCACAAAAATGAGTCGAGGGATGGAGAGTTGGAGTTCTTCAGCCGGGAGAAGAGAAGGCTCTGGGGAGACATTATTGCAGGCTTTCGGTACTTAAAAGAGGGCTTGTAAGAAAGATGGGGACAGACTTTTAGTAGGGCCTGTTGCGATAGGACAAGGGGTAATGCTTTTAAGGTAAAAGAGGGTAGATTTAGCCTAGATATAAGGAAGAAATTTTCTGTGATGAGGGTGGTGAAACACTAGCAGAGAGGTAGATGCCCTGTTCCTGGAAACATTCAAGGTCAGGTTGGACGGGGCTCTGAGCAACTCAACCTAGTTGAAGGTGTCCCTGCTCACTGCAGGGGCTTGCACTAGATGACCTCAAAGGGTCCTGTCCAACCCAGACTATTCTAGGATTCTAAATCCTGAGGTAGGTCCATGCCAGTGTCCAGTAATGCATGCATACCAAGTCCTGCTGATATGTAGAGGAAAAAATAAAGTCCATACTTAGGCAAAAGCCTCTTGACTATTAACTGTAACCAGTCTCTGAGGTGAAGGCGCTGCACAAAAATCACTAACGTGTAGGTTCTTTGAGCATTTTGCCTTCCTTTCCAAAAAAGTGCTGCTGAGGATATTCATTGCTAAGACAGTGGAGTGAGTTAGATGAACTTCCCAAGATCTCTTGGAAACACATCTCCAAACTTCCAGTAATTACACATACATATTCTGTGAAATGTGAATTCTGTGAAATTAAAACCAAAACCCCTCTTACTAAGGTTAGTGGTGAGTGGTGTTTTTCTGCAAGGATTGAGAATTTGAACAACTGGTGTAGTTATCAGTGCACTAATACAAATGCTTTAAACATGATTGCAGCATAGTCTGTAGGGAGCGTCAGGCAGCGCTGGTTGGTTTTTGGATCTATGCCCTTAATCGAAGAGAAGAGCCCCTCGTCACTCTCAGCTCTGTTTTTGCTACCAGATTAACATCAGCTTTCACCATGAGCAATGTTAAACAAGCCAGCTATTTTACAGGTCATGTATAGCACATATATTTGGAATTTTATATCTGAAACTTCAAATATTTGAAAAGAGTACATTGGTTTTTTGGTTAATTTCCCTTGGGGTACATAGCTGTTTCCTTGACAGGGGGATGTCGCTGAGCCGAGGGAGCAGAGCGTATCTGTTGCTGCTAGCATACCTGTGCACGCAGGCGTACAAGCAGGGTGTAAGATGCGAGGCATAATTTTGTGTTCCAGCTGAAGAAGCAGCATTGCAGCTATGGGGGTGAGGAGACGGGGCCAAGTGCATGTGGTGTTGCTCTTTCATAACACAGTTACAGCACTATAGGAGTCGCAGCCCGCTGGGGCTCAGTTTGGAGCTGCAGCTGCAGAAAATGTTTTTCTTTCTGTGCTCATTGTTGGGGAAACATTGAGCATTCGCTTGGCCGGCATCCAAAGCCATCCTGTTCCATAGCTAATCCAGGTGACACAGCCTGGTGCGTCAATCACAATCGTCTGAAACGGGGCTTAGTCTCATTTTTGTTTTGCTCTTGCATCACTGTAATGTTGCAGGCAGCCCTTGAAATCTTGTGACTGGGCATATATTTTTTTTATTATTTCCTAGACCATATGTTTCTAAGCTATGTCATGGAATGGGGGTGAGAACAACAACAAAAAAATTCAACCAAGTGCTTCCTAAACGTGAAGAATTTTTTAATTGAGGTGGAGGGACACGTACCAAACAACAAAACCCCACTTTCCTAAACCATCACTAAGCATGTGTCAGCCAAAGCCCCACAGACATCCAGTCTAGTATCACCAACTATCCAAGACTCAACTGCTGCTGTCCCCTAAGGGTCATATGTTATATTTTAATATATGCTCAGGTATATTTTAAGCTGCAAGTAGGGAAGTAATTGCTGTGCTAATATTTATTTTAGGCATAGCTACAGATGGTAGCAAGCACATCAGCACCGTGTTTCACACGCTACTTTTGCAGAGACCTGCAGCAAGCTCACCTGCAACAAATGTCATAATGCTTGTTCCAAAGTGCTTATGGCACTCGCCTGCTGATGTTGTGTAACTCAGGCTGCCCAACAGATTACTGATGTTGCAGAAGTTGAATGTGGAATTTTTGGTTTTTGTTCCCTGTGTACAAACAGTTGATAGCTGGGGCTCTTCCCATATGACATCAACTCTGTCATCTTCGTTAGACCGAGGTGTAACTGCCCAATATATGAGTTCATGTTTTTTCTTCTCAGAAGTCTGAATGTGCAGAGCTGTATTGTTTTTGATTATTATAGTAGACAATAATAATTTTATTTTCACTGATACAATCTTCTTTACACCCCCATCCCAACCCAGGGCAGTAAATGTGTGTTTAACATGTGCCGAGGATGCTGTAAGAAAAGAGCGTTTAAAGAGACAGCAGACTGTCCAGGTAAGTGCTGCGGTCCTTGTAAGTCATTGAGCCAAATGTCTCATTTCCCATGTATATTTGTTACTTTCATCTTTGGTTTATGGGGTGTAGGGGTATGTGTGTTAAAATATACATACAGAGCTATCTAAAGTTTCGTAGTGCAATTTTAAAAGCCTGCTCTTCTATGTACGGTATTTCTTCTTCCAAAGCCTCGGGATGCATCGCTTCCAGACTATGAGACCCCATTCTTTATAAGGAATAAGCTGTTCTGTTTACCAGTGCAGTCATCTCATTTCAGGTTGTTGTTGTTGTTGTGTTTTTTCTCTCCACACCCCACACCCCACCCCCCCCCTTGCTTCTTCAGGTCATGGATTACTTTTTAAGACCAAATATGAAAAAAACCTTTCATGGCAGAGTAGTCAAAGAGTAATTCAAAACCGAGAGATGAGTCGGAGAGATGTAGATGTGGGGGAGACTGCCGTACTGAAGGAGGCTGGTGACAGTGCAGTGTGAAGCTTTGGAAATGACTAGTTAAAGAGCTTCTGCCAGGCCTCTGCTTCCCTGGGCCAAAGAACATACCGTCTCCAGCTCACCATCAGCTGTGTGAACTTGTTCCACAGGTTTATTTTAAGTTCTGGAAAGTTTTATTTAAGTAAAAAGCTGCTTACTCAGGGAATTATCCTGCATTTGAAATAAAAAGGATGCAATTAAATTTCTCATGCTCTGTTTTAAAGACTGAAAATGCTGCATTTTTGGGTGGGGGCAACCTATATAAGCTGCCATTGCAGTCTGCCTTTTGTATGTTTGTTAACCCTTCATGTCCTGTTTTTAATATTGGGGAATAAACTTCTTGTATTAGAACAGCCTTCAAAAAATAGCAATGTCAATGACTTCTTCACTAACAGAAAACGTCACATTTGTCTGAGTATCAGCAGGCTGTGTTTTCAATGCTGAAAGGAATCTAGCCATACTTTGAAAACATGAACGCAAAACTGTAAGATGTTGCTATAACCACATTGTGTATTATTAGTTTGGTACAGTATGATAAAGCTTAATGGTCTCCCATGAGCTAAAGGTTGGGGGGAAATTGCATCTCTATTTTAACAGAGAGGACTCTCTGAAATTGTGCTTAGAACCAAGTCCATGACCTTACCCTGCTTAAAGTTTCACACTTAATGATACGATCATTCTTTCTCCTTTTCACCTGATAAGTTGTGAGAAGTGCGTCAAAACCAGATTCAGGTCCACACATTCAATACCTCTACCTGGCTTTTAGCCTTTTCCCTATGGGCTTTGTGTGTCTCCTGGGCATTCAGTCAGAGTAGCCTCCAGTGTTCAGTATGCTGTAAAGAATGTCAGCAGCCAAAAAAAACACAACAAAAAACAGCACAGTATGCAGCTGTTTAATAGACCGAAGAAATGAAGTCAAGCCATCTCATGCTTAAAGGAGAATGAATAAATAAACCTTAGCTCAGCTGTGAAAATTGATCTCCCTGTGGCCTGTTTTCTGAATGCAGATTATTTCACTGCATGCGAGTGACCCTGCTCCAGCGTGCTGCTGTTCTGCAGCTGCAGCCTGAGCATCTTTGCTGCGGAGCTGCCAGTACCTTAGTGCACTAAAAGCAGCATGGCTGTTCCTGCCTGCTTGTCATTAGCCTACGGAAGGGAAGGCAGCAATGACCCGTTGTGGAGCCTGTAAAACATGCACTCTAGCCATGCTTGATCTGGCAAAGCTGGCACATTGTGAATGAGCCCTGTATATACAGCCCTAAACTGTAAAATAAGGAGGTCTAAAAACACTGGAGAAAAGAGTGGAAAAAAAAAAAAAAAGGGTGGGGTGGGGAAGTGGACAGGGAAATGGGTGGGAGAAAGAAGGAGAAGGTGTGGGGCAGGGAAGCAGAGTTGCGTGCCTGGCCAGGGTCCTGAGCGACCATTCCTGCCCATCTGCAATGGCCTGCCTGCAGTTCAGAGCGTGTCACGCTCCGAGGGGTGTCGGTCCCAAGCACTGCACTATCCAAGGCTCTGCTCCCAGGAAGTCAAACGTCTGCTTCACATGGCCAGACCAGCATGAGATTTGGCTTATGTTTAGAAGCATGGCCACTTGCTAGACTAGGTATGCCTAGTAAGTTTGCCTCCGTAGAGGCAAGTTTTATTAATAACAGGGTCTTAATTTTTTTTAATTAATTTCTTCTAGGCTGGTCTGTAACCTAACATTTCTCCAACAGCCTACTGCAGCACTGTACTGGCCAGTAACAAGAAATTATGGTGTGGTTGAGCTGTCCATTTTGTAAGCAGATGAAGCAAGCAAATTGCCAACACCATGTCGAGCAAGTGGACCATCTTGCAGTATGTAGTAGTGTGTTCTGAGTGGATACTCTCCAGTATCGCTTTCTGGTCTAAAGTTCTGAACAGTTGATGGTTTGAGGGTTTGGCTGGGGGCCGGGGGGGCACGTCACTTCACAAACAAAACAGCTCATCATGTTTTAGCTGGTGCTCTGTGCTCTTATATTCGGCCTGTGCAACAGAACCTCCACAGATTGGAGCTCACTTAGATGTGTATCTTACACAAATTTAAAATAAACTAGGTCAGTTAGCATCAACAGTGGACATGGTATTGCTGGTTTGAACACAACTGGGAGGACAGGAGCGAGACTTTTATGGTTTCTTTCCTTGATGATTCAGCTGGCTGACATTTATTTTTGTAGAATCCTGACTGCAGAGATTCTTCCTCTGCCTGTCAAGATATTCCCTTTTGGAATGTACGCTGGGTCTGAAAGAAAAGGAACAGCACCCAGAATACTAGGTCTGCATAAAGCACTGGCAAAGTGTCTTGTCAGTGCATAAGAGCTTACTGAAGAGTAATAAACCAAAAATCAGAAGTGCCTCCAAGGTCAGAAAAGCAAATGCAGCACCATGCATTTCTGAAAGCAGGGAAAGACTCTTCCCTGCCCCCAGTCAAAAGAGGGGCTCAAGACTTTTTAAAGACAGAAATGCAGCACTTTCAGGAGTCAGAAGGTAACAGCATGCCTTGATTATTTTATAAACCATTTTTAACACACTTTTTGACTTCTCAACAACCATTCCCTGCTTATGCATGTGTCTCTGTGTGCATGCCTGCACATCTACACATGCTTCCTCAAGCCCTGGCTTTCTATTTCCTAACCTGCATTACAAACTATGTTACAGTCATGAGTTCATACATACATGGACTGGAACAGTATGCTGAACAAAACACCCTCAACTACTAGCAGCTGTACACTTACTCAATCCATGGAGAAACATTCTCACTCAAAGCATTAATAATAAAAGAACCGACAAGCAAGATCAACAGGTCGCTAAGCAGAGCACCATATGTGAAGCAGAGGCCTTACCCTTACGTCAATCACCCTTGTGTTCGCTTTCGTCTATTCTGTGTTCAAATTATCCCTGCTGTTTCTTCAGACCCCTTCCCGACCGCATGATCATGTGCATCTTAATCTCTCTGGACATTTGTCTACATCTAGCTGGCTTTTATCTAGCTGTTCCCACTCATTCACACTAAGTCCTCCAGAGAGACTGCAAGTGGTAAGAGCTTCCTATCTGTTTGGAGGCTGGGCTTAAATGCTGCCTAACGTTTAGGTGTGGCTTTCCACAGGTTATGACAATAAAAGTAGTTCAAACTCTCCTACTGAGTCTTCCCATTTCGTTTGCTCGTTACTTGAACAAAATGTTTTCCATGATATTCTGGGAATAACATCTTCCAACCTTAATCAGCTTGTTAATCAAGACTTTCAGCAGCTTTCATAATTTCTGACTGCCCTTGTATTCAAATCAAGTTTAGACACTAAGCTGGTAGGTGTTACTCTGGCTTGCCTTCTGAATTGGAACCAGCACAGAAACCGAGGAGGAGGGAAAGGGTGTGGCATTTACCAAATAGCTCAGTGATTAGTGTGGGAGAACCACATTTAAAAATGCTTCTCTGCCGTATTTAAAGATGGGAGCTTGAAACCACGTCTCCGACCTTCTATAGAAATAGTCCCCTTCTTCTTTTGCACAGACATATGCTTTACAACTGTCAAATATTCCGAGCTCCCTGGTCTGTTCAAAAAGTCACTCTTCTAATAGTGTTCGTAGGTACATAAATGTTGGTAATCGTGGAATTTCAACCTGCTTACCTGACCCCGTTTACACAGTTTCCTCAAAATATCAGAAAGCTCAGTCATTCTCCTGTTCACTGTGCCAGAGAAAATTTACAAAGTCAGAAAAGGTGTCTGAATGAGGAACATACCCTATTACAACACAGCAGTGGCCAGCTGGTGCTATGTGAGATACTGGGATTATATTCTTAACCACACAATGGGATTTCAGAACACAGCTCCCGAGTACAGCCTCATCACAGAATCACTTACCAGTGTGAAGAAGGGATCAAGCTGGCTTTAGGCTCCTAAATTCAGGAAGGGCCTTGTACTTGAGAATCCTAAAAGGACGTATTTCTATACAGAATTAGTATTTAACGCACCTCCTCTTCCAAGGCATTTCTCAACAGGCAACGCAGATGGATGTGCGCTTCTCTGTTAGCTGCTGTCCCATGAGATGGCAAAGGGCTGCAGTGCTCCTGCCACAGGGCTGGAATACTGTTCAGTTAGGCACTGCAACACAAAACTCCCTTTGTGCATCTAACTACAAATCACCATGTTAACAGAAAAAAAAAAAAGTTGCAACCTGAACTTTCAACAGACATTCTAGAAGCCGATAACCTTGCAATTAATAAGGTAAAGATGACCACTGTATCAATGTCTTAATAAACAATGCTTGGGAATTAGGAGGCACTGTTACAACATGAGTAAAGCTGAGCCATTTACCGTTCATGCTGGGCACACCTACACCAACTAGGGATTACTTTCAGGCTAGGCAATATACTGATTATCCTCTTTATCTCTAATCAAAAAATTGCAGCCTGCCAACTCAGCAAGGTAATGTCCTGTTTTGTTTCTGTTTCACAGGCCCTCAAGAAGATATACAGTACTGAATTTTAATGGCAGTAGGGGGAGGAAAAGGCAGTGCTCTGCATGTAGATTGACGGTGAAAATGATCCTCAGTCTTTGGGTTTGAGGGAGATTGGATTCTTCTATCTAAATACATTTTCAGAGGCACACAAGAAAAAGTAGTAGTAGTTCACCTGACAAAAAGAAAGCCAACTGCCTTTATTTGGCAAACAGCTTATGAGATATGAGAAAATTTAAAAAATAAAAAGACAAAAAGAAGTACATCAAAACAAAGACTGAAAACCCTAGATCTCAGCAGGTATTTACAGGGTACAAATTTTATGTACACATAGACTTCACAGTTACATGAACTACAAGCACATGGAGTATCATAGTCAAAGCTAAAGCTGCAGAACTATTAGAGAACTGAAGCAGTGATATCTGTGGGATGAAGGACAACAAGATTCCCTAGCCTGATCTACCATGTAAAGACAGATTTTTTCAGGTCTTGCCACTTGAATTGGACCATCTCTTGCTAATACAGCTACGCTTCAGTCTGTAGCTTTTAGTAAGTCTACTGAAGCCTAAGCTTGAATTATTTCTTTGCTGTCAAGAAACTGTCTTACTTGCATTATGAATTTTCCAAACTTCTAACTACTGAATCTCATGCATTTCTTTTAGAGGTTGACATACCCTATTAGCCAGTTTCCCTTCCCTAATTAATTTAGCCTGATCAAGTTATGCTGTGAGATAATCTAAAACTGGATTGTTCTAGCAGACCCTATGAAACATTGAATGGAATTCATAGATCCACAGGAATGCAGAAGCCAAAATACCACCAGCTGAAGTACAAAGCTCATTTGCAAAGCAGAGAGTAATTCATTCCCCATTCCCTAATACCATCAGAGATAAGTGGAAGTCAGTTCCATATCAGTTTGGTGCTTTTCACCCTACTGCAAATTCACAGTTGATGGACTACTGAAAAATATGAAATGCTGACTTGTTTTAGTCTCAGCTTTCACAAGGGGGTGGCACAAGCAAATACTAAGAGCACAGTCCTGTGGAGCACACTGCTCACCCATTGTCATCTGCTTCATACAAAAAGTAATGAAGGAGATGGCATAAGAATCTTGAATAGCCACATGAAGTTGGCTGAGACTTTACTCAAAAAAAAAAATATCAATGCCTGAGCAGCACTTTCTACTTATGCATGATGGATCTTTGTCAGAACCACTGCTGTTATTATTAAAGTTTCCTCATTTGTTTTTCTGAAAGTTTATGTTACATTGCATGTATCAGAAACAATACATTATTCAGTGACAGTTTTGGGAGCTGTCCGGAGGAGGATGGAACAATGCTGAAATTTCAACTGTTAGGAAGCAACGCTGAGACCATTATGGCAGAGTCTGAGAAACCAATGTACAGATGATACATGCACAACAATTAGTTGTGCTAATTGAAGCTGCTTTCACCAAAAGAACCAGATGCTTTCTAACTGTTTTTCCTTCATCCCTAGCTAGGTCAGGTAAAGAAAGCAGGATTTACACTGCCTGAGGACGCCATCAGTTGCAGCCTACCGCTGGCATCTCCTTATCAACAAAAAGGTGCTGCACAAATTCATGAAATCCACTTAAATAAGCTCCTCTGAACAAATCCTAGACATACCAACATGCTACAGATGCCACAAAACTTCATCCATCCCCTGAACTACCTTGATGGTCACAGGGAACCACTGGAAATTCATTCTATGTGAGTCACTATTTTCCCATTTATTACTTGGGAAATTAGAAATTTAAGGTAAGAATAATCTTTCATTGGGGGAAACTGCTTATGAAGGTGAGTTATACAGAACTATACCCATGCTGTGTTGTATTTCCTGATTTTTGGACTGGCAGGTAGTTAGGACTGAAGTAAGCGTTGAACAATGCCTGGACAGCCCTGACTCACATCTGCAAGATCCTAAACATTCACAGGCTAAAGGAAAGAGCTACATGCCAATAATTCTATACAAAATATACACTATGCTTGAACACAGCCAATGAACTAAGCAATTAAAGAGAAATGCTCTATCTGTCCAGAAGAGGCTGTAAGCATTTGTCTGGAGACAGGACACTGATCCCCTCTGCCTCAGCTATGGGACTGCCCTGGGCCACAGCAAGAGCTGGCGACTGCTGCTGCCACCCCGCTGGGCTCCATGCTGACTGCTGAAGGATACGCGCTTCCAGCCACTGCCCGAGAGCAGACAAGCACTAGTGTCTGGAAGAGCAGAAGCTCTCAGGTCAATGTGCTGAAGACGTCCATTTACAATTGAGGATTCCTCCAAGAAGAAAGCCTCCAGGAAGAAACAGAAGTAATCTAATAAAATCAAGAGAGTGGAAGCTGTGCGCAAGCAAAGATAGCCGGCTGACAGGAGGCACAACTTTGCAGGGTTGCAAAATCATCTTTGCAAGAGCAAAGCGCAATATCTTTTCCTTACAAATGGTATCAGTGGCCCATTTTAGGAAGAAACTAAGAACATTTAAGTAGTAGTATAGGACTGAATGGCTTTCCTTCAGCATGAGCACAAGGCATTAAATTACTTTCCCAGCATTTCCACAAGGATGTACAGCAATTTACCTGAGGACTCAACTTCCCTTTCTCGCTAAACTGGCCATTGGTGATGCCTGACTCAAAAGTTCTTGATTAACTAGCTCTCTCCTTTCACTCCTCAAAAATGGAAGAATTTTTCCATGCCAAATGGAAGATATTTAAACAAATACCTCACAGGAACTATTGCTTCCATTTTCAGCACCTAAGTCATAAAAAGCCCAGAAAGCCAGAGGGAGAGAGCACTGTTGCGATTTAGCAGCTGTGCAAAAGGAGTCCAGGAATTTTGCTGTTAGAACGTCCCCTCAAACTGCACTTTCTTCACAGTTTAGCCAAGCTACATCTCCAACCAGATCAGAAAGCAAAATACAATTGTCTACAAAATATCTTCAAGCTTAGCAAAAAATCAATGGCCTGAGATCAAAATACCTAAACCTCAATTTTAACACAAAACTCCAAATACTCAGAAGCTTTTTAATCCTGCTGTTTAATGCACTAGATATAACAACTTATTTAAAAAAAAAAACAAAACAACAACAACAAACAGCATTAACACATTAACATCTGTAGTCAGTTGCCAGACCAGTTAGGGCTGGGTCAAAATTCTTATCTTGCCCTATGGATTGGATGAATGCAAGGCTGCAGTGACTTCAGAAAATTCAGTGCATATCTCCTTTCATTAACACAGAACACACACACACACCTGGGCTGCCACTTTTGATCCCTTTATAAAAGGAAAAGCAGAATAAATGCACAAGGAGAGCATGCAACTAGTAGACTGGCTGCTCTCAGCTCTTCCACAGGACTTGAGTGGTACTTTATGGCATTCATCCATGCTACCAGAAGCAACTGCTGCACATGTTGGGAAACCATCACACTATGGCAGTAAGGCTGGACAAGCAGCAAACATTTGCATGAAGTAGAGATTTACTGCTATGATAACACTGGACCCCAAAGCTGGGTCATGCACAAGCGGGAAACACATCAGGAAACAGGTCTTTGAAAACAGAGACCAGAGGGGAAAAAACCTGGATCTAGGTAAACATAACACCCTAAAATAAAGGCCTGTGACTGAATGCATGGAAGCAGTGCCATGTTTTCTGGTGTAGGTGAAAAATCATTAAGAGTTTCTCAAAGAAAATCTTTTCTCCCATCAGAACTCTAGCTCCATAACTGACAGCAATGTACTTGTAAGTTTATCTGGAATAAACAGAAAGCTCAGCATTGCTCAGAGCCAAGGCAATACTTTCAAGCCAGCAAAATTCTTCTTAGATCACACCTGTCCACTCAAATTAACACTAACTATTTTTGCAGCTTTGAAACAAGAAAACTAATAGCAGCTGAAAAACTCTCAAATCAGCATCTGTATGAATAACCTGACAGCTCTTTATGGAGTGGTGGAAGGAGGAGAACGGAGGAAGATGTTGTACCAAAACTGAAATGATGACCCATTGCAGGGTCATCTGTTTTCAGAAAGAATTTCTTTTCGAGGAGAACTGAAGTTATTGGAATATTCATTTTAACCACCAGCAGCCCTGAATCTCTCAATCTGAGCAAGAAGTGAGGGAGACAGGGACAGTTCATGAAGCTCAGCAGTTAGTGGGTGAGACACTGGGAACAGTCCGGGGGGGACCATTTATTTTGGTAGCGCACGAAGTTTCTCACATGTTGGTGCTCATCCTGGACTGGCTGTTAGCTGGAGTAAGCTCCCCTTGGCTACCTTCTCTTGGAGGAGACTGCAACAAGACCAGAACACGTCCTAGTTAGTGATGTGTCAATATACTGCAGAGCATTTCCTGAGAGAGCACATGAAGCACAGGTGAAGCACAGCAGGATAACAGCAGGGGGAGAGCATACCCTCAACTCATGAATAATGATGGCTTTGCAAAAGCTTTGTGTTTACAACTTCTATAGTTAGAGTTCACAAGAACTGTTTCTAAAAAAGTCAAATCAGAACTTTTAAGCCACTCTTATTTATTATGTACAAGGTGCTGTTGGCCCCAGAAGTTGAGTCCTATCTGGCATTTAGTTACCACAGAGATTAATATACTGTAGAATTTAACACATTCTATGGCAGATGGCCTATCCTCCCTAAGGGCATTCTTTTGGAACTGCATCCTGGGAGGAATACTCCAAGCAATTAATGCATTTTTTACTTCCTCTACTAAAAAAAAAAAAATACACAAATCTTTGGTTTGCTACAATAAAAGATATGTGTATCAAAAAATTATGTCAGAATAAACTAGAATCAATCCAAGCATATAAACTTCAAAGGACATTCTGCGTTGTACAAGCAGGTCAATGTATTGACTAGAAATGTTTGTTCCTTAGATATTTAGTATTTACTATTGTAAGAATTTGTCCAATCATGAGCACAATAAATCCATTCCCCTCCAGAACCTTCAATTCACCAACTTCTACAGTTTCAGTAAAAAAAAAAAAAATTTAAAATGTTAACACTGTCTCAAAGTCTGTATTTAACAAGTCCATACCTTGACATGTATCTGGTTGCGCAGGACTGCAGCTCGCAGGATCATCGCCTTGGCACGCCGCTGAAACTCTTTGCCCATTAGTAGCGACTTCTCGAAAGTTGTGCTGCGCTGATCTACATCTCGAGCATAAAGAATCTGTAACCAATACAGAGAACTGCACACAGGAGCTATGACAGGGTTCCGCAGCAGGAAGCCCTTTCTGAGCACGGGAACAAAGCTAAGGAATCATGGAGTCTGAGTGTACACACAGATCAGCCCTACTGAAAATGCCAGTCACAACAGAGGAGTGCAACACCAAAGTGTCCCAGGAACAGGGACAGTTGTTCAGTCTATGATCTGTGGATCAGATGCACCTACCTTACTGTGCGAGTCTATCCTGGCATTGATTAGTCCCTCCAGGATCAGCTGAGTAAGTTCATCTTCCAGAGCAGCCACTGTGGTATTAAAAGCCGTGGCCATCTTGCGCATATCTGCTGACACATAGGGGCTGAAATACTAGGAAGAAGAAAATATTCCATTGCCAAGTGTACTCGCTGTCCTTTGAAAAACCATGCGAAAAGCAATTACAAATCCACCTCTCAGGATTACAGGAACAATTACCTGGATAAGGGCACGATTTCGAATCTGGGTATAAAGTGTCCTGACATGAGGTGCAAGGTACATATCCAGCAGCAGGTTGTCCTGTGCAAAAAAACACATGAAGAAGCTGAGAAGCAGCCCGGAAAAATGTATTATTCCTATGTTCTGAAACATATATGTGTATATACTTAAACCTTAAGGATATTGCACTACAGCAAGACAATACCATAAAACAAGAATTAATAAAAGAACTAGCAATATATTTTTAAAATTTATCATTTCTCCTGACCCTCTACAGCTAAACTGCTCCCAGTTTCCATTCACCATGTCAGAAGACAGAACTCACAGAAGAGCTGAACGCTCTTAGTAGCTACTTTTAACAACAGTCGCTGCTTTTCACAACAGGCTACGTGAAGGGAACTTTTAGGGTCTGTTCTGCACTGCTCCCTTGCAACTCACCTTCATCTCATCCAGCATCTTCAGGCATGAAGCATATTTAGATTCATAAAACTTGAAGATGATGTCACGAACCTGTGGCTCCAGCTCCAAAAATAATTTGAAGGAGCTACAGATAAAGATGGCAGTGATCAGACATTGGAACCCACCACTTAAAGTACCCCACAATGCCATCACTCCAAGTTGCAATGTTACAAACTCTCACTATCATTTGAAGATTCCAAGAATTTACTGTCTAACAGACCAGATAGCCCATTTTCAGCAGAGATGGGAGCCTGGAACACAGAGATGCAGCACAGCATCAGAGCTGTGGTGAAGGAAGGGAAGAGACTTTTGACAAACCAAGCAGTAAAAGTGTTCACACAAAACAAAAAAATGAGTGGGAATAGGTCAAAATCAGGATACACCACCAGAAAACACAGGCCACGCCTCTGCATGCACTGTAGTCTGTGCACAGTCAAAGCGTAGCCCTCACTGAGTACAGCAAGCCATAGGTGGGTTAAGCATGCAGCTGTCTCAGGAAAATAACCTATCTAAGCGTGGGAGACTTTGGGGATGCACATTCTTTCTCAGTGCTCTCCCAATTCTCCGTCGTGGATTTCCAAACCTTGGGATCTCGCCCTATGAATCAGCCAATAAAAGAGTCAGGGTAACAATCCTTTTTCAATAATTTAAAATTAGTGCTTCCACACACTTAGCTCACAGAAATTCAGTGTCATTGTAATTCAATCTATGAAACACAAATAACCATTTTTTTCCAAAGACTGTAATTCTCTTAACCTTGTATATTTCCTATTAGATTATGCTGCAAGTTGTACTAACGATTATCAAATTGTATTAATACAAGTAACATACACCAGAACAAGTGTCATCTTACAGTTGCCTTCTGTAGGGGTCTATCCCTCTGATTTAGTATCTGATATGGACTGCTGATGGAGACAGAAAACTGGGCTATGTAGATGTTGGATTTGACCTCAACTGGAAACTTCCATTGCACTATGAAAATTTCAGCTGGGATTAACCACTGTGTTTTAGACAGTGGAACATCAATTAATGCTAAAGCCAAACTAAGGCTCAGTGATTCTTTCTCTCCTGTATGAGAAAGCTGTTACTCCTGCCATAATCCACTCTCAACCAAAGTACCATGTCCCAGAAGACGTCCAGGACATACAAACTCCTCTCAAGGCATCACTTACCTGCTGGAGATAACATTTCGTTGCAGTTCCTGACGGTCAAAGGTAGCAAGGGCACAGAGACCACCATACACAGCCACATTGCTAGGAGATAACAGCTAGAGGGAGGGGAGGGGGGACAGGAAGAGAGCGCTGTCACGGACTACTAAAATGGCAGAAGGTTGGAATTAAGTATCCTGCCCAGGCCTTTCCTTCATGCAGTGACAAATGCAGTGGAACCACTCGGCATGCTCTCAGGCATTCACCCAGAGCCTGATGAGTGATTGACCACTGCTAAGAGAGCAGAAACCAATTCCAACAGCCAGTCTTTTGACTGAGCTACACAAATCTCAGACGTAATTCCTACAGGATCTAGAGATCACTTAGAGAACCCAAGACCAGTGAATTTTTTTTTTAAATAAAGAAAACACAAAACCAACAAACATGGTTCATAGCACCATTAAACTATAAAGGAATGTGGTGAGAATAAATACAATATCTGAATTTTACAACCTAATACTTAGAAGAATTACATCCCCTCCAAGACCTACATACAGCTCCCTCTTGCTCCTCACCTCAGGGAAATCACAGTGATCAAATGATGCCAGCAAGAAGCACTTTGCTGCCTGTTTGTACTTCCGAGCAGCTAGTTCAGCCAAGCCTAGGAACCAGAAAGTTAGTCCTTTGTTTATGATAGCATACGAATCAGGAGAAACTGCTAAATCTGGGGAGTAGGACAGGTCCCCACATGGTTGCTAGTGCCTTCACTACTGAAGTGAAAGGAGACTCTCAGATAGCATCTAGTATCTTTTGAACTATGCTGACTCATACTGGCATTCTCCCTGAAGAAACTCAGGCAGAAGAAAGAAATAGCAAAAACGAGTCAGCAGTTCCATCTGATCAGCTTTATTAAATTTTGCATTTCTGGTGAGAAACTACAAGTCTGTCAAATCTGAGAGAAAAAGTAAACCAAGCACACACACTATCATCAAAAAGCCCTACAGACAGCTAACAGGCAGAAGGACAGGCAGACAATACAGGAAGCTGAAGGATTCACTCACCTGCTGCACATTTCAGTTTGGTGAGAATTGCTTGTGTCTGGCTGTCTCTTTCTCCTCTTTGCTGAAGGATAAGAAAAAGCAGTAGTGAGCAAGCAGCAGGAAAACCATTTTGATTACAGCCGTCCTTGGAATATTTCATCCTAATAATTAACTTGCAAATCTCAACAGGAAGATAACTGTATCTTATTTGTCTTGGGAAATATGGCAAGAACTGAGGATGAAACGTGTCTCTGTTTTTACCATGAATCAGATTTCCTGCACACATATCATGAGAGAAAAGCAACAATGAATCTCACAAGAAACAGTACAGCAGCCAAGGAGGCCGGATTAAAGGAAGAACAGACTGTAAGATTAAGGGAAGTCTTAAAGGGGGCAAGTCATAAAGGGGGAAAGGGAGAAATCGTTTTACAAATTTTGGAGAAAGAAAACAAAGGCAAAACTCATGCAAGTTAAAAAGCAGGACCTTACTTCTGCAATTTCTGGTGTAGACTCAGCCTTGCTTACATAGCTCAGAACATGAGACCAATTCTGGAGGTAGACACTGACCTGTAGAGAGCCAGAAACAGTGCAGAACAGGCATGGATAAACCTTGTTACCTAGATAAGCAGTATCGGTGCAGACACAAGAGGTGTAACCAGAGAAAAGTACAGGTGGACTTTACAGTAGATACCAGAAAGACACAAATTACCATTTCCTGCAAACCTTCCTACCTTGATGACATTGAGACACATGTTGATAACATGTTTAGCACTGGTGCAGTAATCACGGGCTCGTGAGTAACACTTGAGAGCATTGCTGAGGTCCCCACAGTCAAGGTAATGATCACCTAAGTCATCATGGCCTCTCCTGGAGCACAGGAATTAAAATATCAGTGAACTGTGTGCTCAGAAAGGGACACAGTCAGTTTATTCCAAACAAGTAACTCGACACACTGACCTAAGGCACTGAATGCAGTTGACATCCTGTGTTAGGTGCCTGGAGGAGCAAAATGCCCTTCCTTGCTCCAGTAGAGCCTTCTGCATCTCACCTGATACTCTCCTTGATGGAGTTCCCTTTGTAATTTTTCAGATCTGTGTCGAGTTTCTCCAGTTTAAGAAGAGCTTTTTTGCGTGTAGCTTCAACCCAAGCTGTGTCGAGAGGAGGGGGTTCAATTCCACTGTCAGGGACAGCATCAGGTGTATTCTGCAGTTCTCTGAAAGGAAAGAGTGAATGGGGCTGTTACGCTGCAAACTTTTCAAAACAGAGGTCTGCTAAGTATGGGGTACTGTTACCCTAACAAGCAGTACTGATACACAAAATAGACCAAAGAGAATACAAGGATGGGGGGAAAAGATGACTGCTAAGATTTCCAATTAAACCAGTAACATAAGCATCACAGATGTTTACAAATTCTTCTCAAAATTACCCTAATGATCTTTTGCAGGTATTTAATTAACAAGCAAGTCATTGCTCATTTTGAAGAAACAACCTGCTCTATAAATCAATCGAAAGCGAATGGGTAACAATGCTGCAATGAATTATTACATTTGATTAAAGTATTTAATGACTCTAAAGAGCCACTGAATCCAATCAAACACCTCGATATGGAACACAGGCTGCACGTGTTTGTGAGTTCTCTCCCCAGCTATATTGCAATGGCTCAATGGCACAGCTACACTGTATGGATACTATCCAACTTCTTCCATCTAGCTCAGATCAACACATCTACTTGCACTGAACTCACTTTCCAATATTTTAAATGGGAAAACACATTCTGAGTTTTCTGGGGTTTTTGGTTGTTGTGTTTTTGGGGTTTTTTTTGGTTGGTTGGTTGGGGGTTTTTGATTTTTTTTTTCCAACAGTCCTTTTCACATATAAGAAAGCCATTAAGATACTGTCAAACACACATGGTAAAGACTCCCAGGGCAAAACAGACAAGAAATCAACAAATATGCATACAAAAATAATGCAAAGACAGAAAGTGTGGATGGATAAGGGATGTATCCAAGGCTACCCTTAACAGC